CAGTTTTGAATTTAAACCGAAGAGTCAATTAGCCTTGGGAAGGCAATAATTACTCTTGGAGTTAGCTGATTGCGATCCGCTAACTCATACTGGGTTCTTGTAAAGAACGAAAGGTCGGTGACCGAAACTACGCTTCCGCAAGCGCTTAGCTACGACAGCCCCGCTGCATTAATACCAAGTGGAATGCGTTGTGAGCTCCGCGGCGGTGTATAGATAGCGTCTAACCTTCGGAGAACGGCTTTGTGTATGGCTATCGTATGTCGCTAGGTCTGTTTTTATCTTAAAAGACCACTGCTACCTCACTCGTAAGTAATCGATTGCGGGGGACACGCCTTTCTCAGTGGCTCATAATGCTTTGGGCACGTGAACTGGAATAGTTCCGATGTTAGTTACAGGACGTTGCTGAGAATTACGTTACCTTGCTAGCGTCACCCATGCAGCACATAGGGTTTTATCAGTGTGGATAGTATAACAAGAAATTCTCACTACAGGACATTTAAGTCTCAAGAAAAGCATTACAGAGTCAGATTTTGTCTATGCAGCAACGTTCTATCATTGTTGGCGCTTAATAACGCAAACTATACGAGTCTAGCGTGTTCTTTTCAAAGGCGCCACGGTCACCCTGTGACAAATACGATCTCTGCCTGCGGTTCTTTTATTCGCTGATCTGCACAAATCCTTTCTGTACTATAAAATAGGCGTGCATCGTATGCTGTCACACAAAGATCCAAAAACACCGGACATAGTGCTGTCTGTGGCTGCGCTGTGCGATTCACTCGAAGAGACTGACTTGTAGAAGCCATGGAAGAGTACTGCAACTGACTGTATTCCTCGTCGAGCCGTATTTCAAAAGAGCTGGATGTGAGTGAGCTACAGCTATCTACTTTTGATACCCTCAACTTGCCATTTTCAAGTAGGAAGAAATCCTATGTGCAAGTGGATCGCTAACTGTACTAATCTAGCTCACACATCGCTATTTCGCACGTACTGACTGAAGAAACATGAAGAATTAAGTCTCCCAGCATTTCTCAGGCAATTAAAAATCCAGGTTACCCCTCATCACTTATGCCCAGCTCCTTACCCTTCATTTAAAATGGACAGGGAAAAACTCAAAGCTACTTCTGAATAAATTCATTTGAAGACTTGAAGGTGAGGCGTATGGCTAGGTTTGAAGAAAAGAAAACGATAACTAATAAAATAAATAAAAAATGATCAAATAGAAACTCTTCATAGCATTCCACACTCTCACAAGCCAATAAAAGCCATTTGCGCTCGCTGGTTTTGCATCACCTCATCTCATCATCTGACAATGCCCTCAACCAGTCCGCCTCTCTAGAGCCTGACGTTTGCCTTGCTACTCTCGGCCGCAATTTTCTCCTTATATTTGACCTTCTTTACCTCGCTATATCCTCTCAACATTAAATCGAGCCAGCCATTGCAGTTCCATTTGCGACATCTGCTGCCATCGGAGTGTACGCTGCATTAGGAGCCGGAGGCATATTCTGCAAGAGTTATAAGACATTAGACCAATCCATGTCCACCACCCAGACAAACATTACGATCGGTACCTGGTACGCACGTTGGGAGGCAAAGCGGCGGTTCATGGCTTCAATGTCATCAGGTCGCGTAAAGTCGGGCTGTTGATCTTGTTGACGCTGGGGGAGGCCATAGTTGGCGGTCTGTGGCAACTGACTTCCGACTGGCTGCACCTGCTGGTGTTGGTACCCGCCCTGAGACTGGGTCCCTTGCTGGGCATACTGTCCATAGGCAGCGTAGCCATATGTACCCTGCTGGTACTGAGGATAAGCGTATGCAGCATTATACCCATAGTAATTCTATTCCATTGCAGCAAAAGTTTAATTGTCATCATGACGCGCTTATTTATTCGGATAGATCGTACCTGGTATCCGGCCTGGTACTGTCCATACTGTTGAGGGTAATAACTGCCATAATTAGCGACACGTGCTGCTGCAGATCGGCCCCAAGCACATCGAACTTTCACGCCACCAACAACTGAGCCATTCATTTGCGAAATTGCAGCCTCTGCCGCTTCCTTTGTTGTATACTGCACAAAGCCGCAACCACGTCCAGGTGGAACTTTAACAGACACAATTTCTCCAAGCGCCCCAAACCGTGTGCGAAGTTCCTCCTCTGAAGTTCCAGGGTCTAGTCCACCCACAAAAACCGTCGTATTGGCTCCATCCTCCTCACTCATGCTAAAACCAAGTTGTTGTCGAGCCTTGTTCCTCTCAGTAGCTACACTAACGCGCATGGGACGGGAAGAGCAAAACACACCGTTCATTGTCTGGAGTGCTTGATCAGCTTCCTCTTTGCTACCAAAGCGCACGAAACCAAATCCCTTTGACATACGCGTTATAGGATCCATGACCACCTTGGCACCTCGCACAGTGGTAAAACGAGCACTAAAAGTGCTTAAAAGCAGCTCATCCGCCACATCCGGTGCTAAATCTCCTACAAAAATGGAGTGATCGTCTGATGTCTCAATGCGGCGGCCACCAGCGCCCCAATTCATTCGAAACCGATGCAACGTGTTTGCTATGCAATAAAATGAGCACATTTTTCATTACACAGACCCAAAACGCAATCACGGCACAAGCAGTTATAAAATTGACGTCATTAAACTTACGGATAAGTTGGCCGTTGAACGTCTCCAGTACTTGCTGAGCTCCTCGCTGTGTCGGAAATTCTAAAAATCCGTAACCTGCTGGATAGCCTGTTACCTTATCTCGGATCAACTTAACGATTGGCTGCTCAGCTAAAGCATCACACAAAAAACGTATAATAGTGACAGGGAGGCCTACAGAAATAAAAAGGAGGTCCCACGCACCGGCCGAAGCAAAGAGCGAGACAATAAAGGTTTCATCCCAATGCATCTGAATATCACCCATCCACAAAGTCTTACATTCCGTCTCCATGGCGCTCGAGGGTCGCGACGCGAAGGACGCCGGATTCCTCCTTCCGGTCGAGTGGGCGAAATGGCTTTTGCCCCCTTTCTCCTCTGCAACGTCGTGACAGTGGCTGTCACCACCGAATTTCGCTACAGACCTCACAATCTGTATCACCGTAACAGATTTGTGTAGCTATTTAAAACGGCGCTAAAAAATAATTCTCTATAATAACTTATAAATCACCATGATGATTCATAAGATGCCAGTACTTGCTTTTAAACTTAATTTTTAGAACTGATAAAATGGCTGCCCACCCCATATCAAAGCTTTTATAAATTTTCACCTTCAAAGGCAAATGCTATTATTGCATTGCTTTGCTTATCAATTGTAGGCCTATAATCACCATCAGCAGCCTCTTCACACGTGACTAGCTTCGAGCTGAGCTGACTGCAGCTCAACATTCATTTCGAAAGACACAGTTGCGCTCTTCACATTTGCATAAACTAAGCTTTATTTTCCAACGGAAAAATGTCATCTATCGCTCGAAGATAGGCAGCTGAAAAGTTTTAAACCACTTTTAACATGTGGCAAAAAAAATCAACTGGACACTATGCTCGTCCAAAGAAACTCATATTGCATCTGGAATGTTTCCTTCCGAGCCAGAATTTGGTACGGTCTCCATTACTCTCAAAAAGAGCAAACAACACGTAGAAGCAGGTCACAACATGACCCAGAAGCAGCAACGCCCCTACTGTCCACAGTCCGTAGCGGTTACCACGTAACCATTGGGTGGATCTTCCAGCACTCAGACTATTCTCTCTTGTGTAGATCCATCCACTCACAAGCGCAAAGCCTACAAATTGGTTAAGCATAGACGCTGGGAGATTCGGAATGAAATTTCTATCATAGTAGACTGTTGATAATAATAGAGGAAGCAGCGCAAAGACGTCAGAGGGGTCGTTTATGGCCGCCATGTCCACGAGCAGCAATAATACCAATGTTGCGCATCCTGCAAACCACAAGTACCGAGCAGCATTCCCAGTAGTAGAGGAAATTAGGGTCTCTGGATGGTCAAATATAGAGCTAAGTTGACTCTGTACTGCACGCTGTTCGTCGTCGCTTTCGCTGTCGCTCTCGGCGCGAACGATCATTGCGTCGTGACCGCTTTAAGTACGATTCGCACAGTTGTAGGTGCCCAAAAGCTGACGACGTAGATGCAACAGTAAAGTCCAGATCGATACAGTACCGATATCCTTTGCACGTTGAAGTTTACCGTAAATCATTCCGCATTTTGCACCTTCATTTCGCTCTCAGATGCTACGAGTGTTATCACTAGGCCAGCGTTTCCTCGTACGTCGTATTCAATTCTCAAAATACCGGGCGATTGCCAGCTACGCGGAGCAATATCGACGAAGTCTTGACAAGCCAGAAGAATTTTGGGCCGAAGCTGCGCAAGACATTGAGTGGTTTAAACCCTGGTCCAAAGTCCTTGATACGTACGTAAGATTGGCAATGCTGCGCGGTCACGATTTCAGTTGATGCTGTTGTGCGCTGGCTGACCTGCCTGGTTATTGCTATAGCACGCAAGGCCCGTCATCAAGATGGTTCACCGGGGGCGAGATGAACACGTGCTATAATGCTTTGGACGTGCATGTAAACAATGGGCGCGGTGATGTTCCTGCATTACACTACGACAGTCCGCTCACGAGCACGAAAACCAGTATTACATACGGCCAGTTGCTAAAAGAAGGTAAGCATTAACTATCTTGACGGGATCAGCATCTTTTCATACTTTCTGTCGTTGAAGTGTCTATTTTTGCTGGCGGTTTACGAAAGCTCGGCGTTAATAAGGGCGATCGCGTTGTAATTTACATGCCAGCGGTATTAGAGACGACGGTGGCCATGCTTGCGTGCGCACGACTTGGGGCTGTGCACTCCGTTGTGTTTGGCGGATTTGCTATATCGGAGCTGGCTGCGCGCATTGACGACGCGACGCCTAAGCTGATCATATCAGGAAGTTGTGGTGTGGAGCCCAAAGGCATTATTGACTACGGTCCACTTCTAAATGGCGCGCTTGAACGATCAACCTGGAAGCCCAGCAAAGTTGTCATGCTGCAACGGGACATCTATCCTTTCCTAATGACCAAAGGGCGTGACGTTGACTGGAGAGACGTAATGGCAATCGGAGACCCTGTTGAAGCAGTTCCTTTGCTAGCCACAGATCCGCTCTACATTCTGTATACGTCAGGTACTACAGGACGTCCAAAGGGGGTAGTTCGAGATAATGGTGGCCACGCCGTTGCGCTAAAGTGGGCTATGCGTAATGTTTTCAACATCACTCAGGAAGATACCTTCTTTGCAGCTTCCGATATGGGTTGGACAGTCGGTCATTCACTCGTCGTATATGGCCCGCTCATCCATGGATGTACAGTATGGTTTGATTTTCTACTTGGATAACGAGTGATATTTTGCATGATATAATGTGTTAATTTCATTCGCAGTCTGTTCAGTACGCAGGAAAGCCTGTCGGAACACCAGATGCTGGTGTTTATTGGCGCCTGATAACAGAGTACGGTATCAAGTCCATGTTCACAGCTCCTACTGCGTTGCGAGCTATCCGAATGGATGACCCACAAGCACTGCTTTTGAAAAAAAAGAAGAGGGAGATTTGCAAGACGCTTGAGTATGTAAGACCCTTTTCTTGTGTGTTGCCAATGTATTTAACCTATGTTATAGAACAATGTTTGTAGCTGGTGAACGCGGTGATCCTAAAACTTTCAAATTTTTCTCCGACGCACTTGGTGTCCCTCTCATTGACCACTGGTAAAATCGCTACAAATACGTAAATATTCTGAAAATTCCGTGCTTACGTCTATCAAGGTGGCAGACAGAGACTGGATGGCCTATAACGGCACCATGCTTAGGTCTGCACAGCGATGAACTGACAGAAGATGGACACCCTCGCATCAAGACTGGCTCGGTTGCTCGACCGGTGCCTGGTTGGAATGTTCAGCTTTTGAAGAGCGACGATGCTAGCCGAGACTTGAGTCAAAATGATGGATATGAAGATAGAGATGCCGAACTTGTGGTGAAGCTGCCACTTCCACCTGGTATGACAGAATACAAACTGATCGTTTTCTTCTGAGTTGTGTACGAAGCTCTCATGCGTTGATCGTGCAGGTGCTTTAACTACACTGCACAACAATTCAGACGACTTTTATGCCAAGTATTTCAAGAGATTTCCAGGATACTATCACACCGGAGACATTGGACAAATAGATGAAGACGGCTTTGTTTACGTTAGTGAATATCTCAAATCTTCCGCGCACTAAAATATATCACCCGATCGTCATGCTCATATGCAACTAGGTGATGTCGAGAACAGATGATGTTATTAATGTTGCGGGACATCGGATTACGACAGGATCGATTGAGGAAGTTATTATTAAGATACTGGAAGTCGTTGAATGCGCGGTTGTACGTGTGCTTCGCAGTTTTGATATAATTGCTGGGATTTTATGATTTTATCTTACCAAAATTTTACTTTAGTTTGGTGTGAACGATCCACTCAAAGGACAAGTTCCTGTTGCCCTCCTTGTGATTGATAAGGAGATAAAGCGACCGCCTGAAGAAGTACGTACCTTGCAACCGAGCCATAACATCTTCTGAGCATAAAAGTTCTTTTTGAGCTAATATAGATCATCGAGCAAGTAAAACGTGATGTGCGTGAGCAAATGGGCAGCTTCGTATGCTTAAAAACAGTTGGCCTTGTAAATGCCCTTCCCAAAACTCGCTCTGGGAAAGTCATGCGTGCAACAATTCAAGGTGTCGCTGACTCATCTTTAGTTCGTGTACCTGCCACCATTGAGAATGTCGCGGTGCTGGACGATATTCAGGGGGTACTTCAGGGGCTGGGCTACGCAAAAGGGAAGCCCTTGAAAATTTAGCGAAGCATTTTTGTAGTAAGTTTGCTTGTTTGAATCGTTCTGGTTACCGAACGCTGTCCCGCCTAGCTGCCTCTTCATCTCTGTCTTTATGCAAGATTTTGAGCTCTTGAACATAAACATGAATGAGAAAGTGGCGTTGTGCAAGGTCCTTCTGTCCAAAATACGAGCGTGGCGAATTGCACATCGTCCTTCCTTATCTAGTGCAGCCTCGTTGGTGAAGCAAACACCGATTCTCAAAAAAATCGTGCTACAGAGCACCTTGGTCGTTAGACAATGTTCAGCACTCTCAAGCTAGTTGTATAATTATGATCAAGTGCTCTCGCCGGGGTGAGTACTAAAAGAAAGATGCTCTTGGAGTGGCTAGTCAGTCTCAGACTCTGTTGTCCGCATCAATCGTCTATCAACGCAGCTGTTCTGGCCACATCGTGGCGACGCACAATCCTTTCTCGACGATTTATTCGTCCAAAGCACGATGAACATGGACGAAGACAATCACATCAAACAATTCCAATTGGTGCCCACCAAATTTCAGGCTGGGTTGCTGAATCCTGAAGTATGGTCTGCAAGCAGATGTTGCAAAGATCGAGGCAATCATAGATCGTGCAAACCACCGTATCGACGGACTTGCCAAAAAGGCCGACTACTTTCAAGTATATTTGAAGATCGACGACCCCGAGGGTCGCGCTTCCTGCAGTAGCTCGATATATCATGTGGGTACTCAAGGGAGATAACTTCCGATGCGTTCATGAGCATGCACTGTAAGCTGCAACTGAAAGGGAGGAATTGCGCAGTATAAAGCTCACTTATGCGCAATTTTCAAGGCAAAAAAGTATGGTAAAGATCTTAATGAGGGAGGTTGTAATGGCGTTAGTAAACCCCTCGGACATGAAAGGGCTGAGTAAACATGAAAGGGCTGAGTAAACGTGAAAGAGCCCGAGGAAAACAAAGAACAAATGAGTGGTCCTAAAACACCTTGGGATGTTAGCCTCACGTAAGTTTTATAGTGAGAGCTGTAAATCCGATCCACATAGCAAAGTGATAACATACTGTACCTGTACTTAGCTCAAAATGTATGTCACTGCATGGGATCACAGAGCAACACCAAATAGGCGGCGTTGCCGCGAATAAAACCGAGAAATCTCGGCTTCCAAAACGGCTCTCGGTTGCATTTTTGGCAGAGGTTCTGAAACCTTTCTCTGTGCGAGTTGAAGGACATCTTCGTTGCACCAGCGATCTAGTCTAGCTGTTTGACATGATGATCTTATTTAAACAAGCTGTAAAGCCTTGCCCCCCCCTCTTCTTAGCCTTCTTCTCTTCGATCGATCCCGGTATAACTAATGGCAATCTAGCCACTTTGCTTGTCTGCCTTGTGATTTTGTATGCTACAGGCGTATTCTGGACGAGTACATCCAGCATTTGTAAAGAATTGATCAAACAACAATACGCTTATCAAGCTTGTTCCTTCGTCGCGTAGAAAGCAGCGGTACATCATCGAATCGCCCTTGCAATCACCGCCGATAAAGATCGTGTCCTATCTACAAAGTTTGAACAACACGCATTTTTAGAGGCGCGTTGATTGCAATCGCCTCGTCCAATATATAAATCAGGTGTTTACGCAGTTCGGTTAAGTTTGATAAACAGACTTGCCATTTCTCAAAAGCAGTTAAAATCTTACACGTTTGATATAGTCTTTAGCTACTTACAAGAGCTGTCTTCAGCATATCCCATGCTGCTTCAGACCGTACAAAGAATTGTCGAAAGCAATCCGCACTTACAGCTCCTAAGTGCTGTTGATTGTCGCCATTAATGTTTATTGATTTTAAAATTTCTATGAAATTGTGTAGCCTTGTAATATGCGTTTTACCTGTCATCGTGCTTCGCCAGCGCGTTCTGCCTGTCCAAATGATGTCGATAGAACCAAATATCATGGCTATCGCAAACGTAAACGTGTAGGCTTCATTGCCTTCCTTCTCATTTCCACAGTTTTTAATCAAGCATTGTTTTGTTTCAGTGTTTGCGGCCATGCAGACACAGCCTTGATCCGCATATCCTATTGAGTGCTTCGTTTTGCAGGGCCGACATTCCTCAGTCTCGATCTCGAACGAGGGTTACTACATCCTGGACACCACGATCAACGCAAACGATCGCGTAGTGTGGATTCCAAAGCTCCCTAACAACTTTGATAATTTCTTATCGATTATAATGATTATTAACTATTCAGTTATACGACGCGCATAGGCTTTGATCTTTGCAGAATAACGCGTCAAATACACAGCCAATTTGACCCGGTATTCTAATAATCAACATGACCTCCCCCTTACTCATTCATTAAGCGTGTACATAGCGTGCACGACTAGCCAATAATGCAGCGCGCAAAGCTGGTTATACCCCCTACCGACAACTTTCTTTGCAATCTGGCCTTCGTGTGCCTCTTTCAGAATGTACGCTACAAAATTTGGCATCATCTTTTAGATCATTTATCACCCGCAAGCAAAAAACATACATGTGCCATGTATCCACCATCTTGATCAATTCGTACGTCGTGAATCGTGTAAAATTATGTGAAGAAGGAATATGCACTTCACTGCAGTGAGTAATCAGGTGACATTCCCGAGAAATGGCTGTTTGTGCGACAGGGGCTATCGTATGATAGGAAACGACACGAGTCGTGTAAGCCATGTCAAGCACGTGCTGTAGGGTTTTATTTTGACTGGGGCTATCTTATACACCAGCGATACTTGACGGTTAAAACAGCTGTTCCAGTCTATCTATACGTGTGCATAGTATAGCCCTATATAGGCAGTGTACTTGATCATAGTAATGAAGCACTCCAAGAAATGAAATTTAGATCAATATTAAACATTTACGAGCTCTTCTCAAGTGTATGTGCTGTCTATCACTGCGGATTTGGCGCTGACGAAATCTTTTGGCCGGATGCTCCAATGGTAGCATGCCACCCACATATCCCGCATTAATCAAAGACATAGTATGTAAATATTACACTAAAGGAGTCTATAGAAGTTGATGGGCAGGGCCATCTGCAAGTACGAATTGTGCTGATATGGCACGACCATCTTCAAAAGAAGGAAAAGTAGTGCTAGGCGAAAATTTTGGTCGTTGAAAAGCCTAACTGTATGGTGGATTTGTCATGTTACGTCGTCTCTAAGGCTTCAATTTTTGCCTAGCCTGCTCATTGCTTTAACCTGGTGTCAAAGGAGATGAAGATGGCATTGCGTTGAGCCTTCCCGGCTTGAACTAACGAGCGGATCTGAAATTTACTTGCCATGATATACACTCCTATCGAGTTCAAAATATCCTTCAGGTTAAAGATCGGTACGTGCCGTCATCTGTTACGCACGAAGGAATAGTCGACAGACCTCGTTTATAGGATAACGATATCGACAGCAATCTTGTGCGAGTAAGTCTTTTGAGGTAAAGTACAATTTGATTGGAGATGAATGTGGTGATAAATGCCTCGATGAAGCGCATATTATAAATATTGTATGACTTTATGCGTTGGTGATGCGATCCGTGCGGCGATAGTGCCATACACGATTCTAAAGATTATAAATTTTTTGGAAGGCTGGGAGTATAGCAAATCATATATCACCTACTCAAACCAATCCCAAGCGAGTTTACACCAGTGCCCCTTCCGGTATTACAACACGGACCGCTTGGCACACTTAGTTGGTTTGACCTCATTATGAGGGCCACAAATAATCTACATTCTTGACGAATAACTTGGTCGAAAAAAGACGTAGTGCTATGGACTGATCGCTCGTGATATACAAACGAATAAGCCTTAACATGCACCAGTCTGAAATGTGTCAACAGGTGTTATCCTTTCGTTTTATTAGCTAGCTTGCCGGTTCTGGCAGTGCTAGCAACCCGACTTTGTGTCGCTCCTCTTAATAATGTCCCCAATAATATCGTCCGTTGAGTCTTCGAGCATCGCTTACACAAAATGATTCGTATCAGCTGTCAGCGACACCGTCTGTAGTCAAGACACAGACGAGCTGCTCCTATCCATTTTTTTGCCGGATTTGCGTTCAATTGCAAATTATCGTGGTGCTTTGTCCATGCTACTTCACACCAGACTTTAATTGTCAACAGCAGACCTTCCACAAGCTATGATACGGAGATTGTGATGAGGATATTTCGTTAAGGTCACTACGCCTGAGTCGTTACGACTGATTTCGTTGTGAGGATGGAAGAATACTTCTATTTATCTCAAGGCATGTAGGACGGGCTTTTACAACTGCTGAGCCTTGAGGGCGAGGAGCAACTTGTTGGGCAAAACCCCGAGGCCATAAGCGCCCGCCTAGAGAAAAACTATAAAAATGCTCTGTTAGAGCACTTACAGCAGAAGCGGCGTCTTGACGCCACCATCGACAACGAAAGATTCTTTCTGATCCATGCCGCTCATGGTGAGCGTTAAGACCTTAGAGGGCGAGGATGGAGAGAATGTCCTTTTTTAGATGGCTATGGCATCCGCCATTCTCCAGAATGAGCAACAGCGCGCGGCGCTAGCTATCTTCAAGCTCGGGGGCCAAGCGCGAGACAAGGCATGAACGTGCGGTGCTTCGGTTGAAGATGAGTTCCCCTCCCTGAAGGAGCTGAAACGTCAGCTTCTGCGAGTGTTCTCGCCGCCTAACCAGACATTTCGCGTGAGATTGCGTTTTCTTGCTGCCCGACAGGGCAAGAAGGAGTCCGTGGACTCTGTCTGAGAGTTGAGAACTCTCATTGCCGGATGGCAGCAGATCCTTACCCCAAGGTGGTCGAACTGACCGTCTTTATGGAGGGCCTCCGCTCTGGCGTTTCCAGAATGGTAGTGTTCCGTGTGTATTCGTCTTCTATTGAAGAAGCGGTGAAAGTGGCATTGGATGCCGAATTCAACTTCAAGTCTGCACGACTTGGATAAAAAGCACACCCCTGAGCCAATGGATGTCACCTATGCCTAGAAGGAGGAAAGAGAGCTCCGAGCTACTGAGCAGCATGTAAACACCTGATGGTGTACTGTCTATGGAGACACCCGTCACCTTGTTCTCTACTTAAGGCGCGTAAAGGTTCGTCGAACCGACGTCCTGCTTCTAACCAGTCTGGTTGACGCGGGGAAACGAGACCACCCAGTAGGCTCAAAGCGCCATACTGGGGAAGAATTGAATTTTGCTGAACCTCTCGGGGGTAAAGGCTAATAGAGCCCAGCCCCAGAGAGTTTTGTGCTAGTACGGCTTTTGCTCGGCGGATCCCGC